ACGTACGGCCATGTACAGTACTAATGTCTTCGAATGATCTACATCCTGTTTTATGCAAAAGACGTTGACGAAGATAAAATCTTTCACCTTCTCTAGGATGTACAAAATATAATCTAGGAATTATACGATTAAAATGACGTTGACGTTCTACCCAGATTCTTGTTTGTGTTATTTTCCACACATAGTTATAAGGTATCTGTACGTATGTGTATTGTCTAGCTTCTTCATCTTGGGTATTTAAGGCGAACCATCCTGTTAACGTAGTGTGTTGTGTTGCGGCCCTTTCTACGACGTCAGGAATGGTACTATTTGTATTAAAATAGACTTGTTGCATATTCGGAAGATGTACAAAGAGTTTAATAATAGCATGAGACATATCGTGCATTTCGAATGTATAAATCCTCCACATCGCCTCAGGCGCGCTAACATAGCGAACGTCCAGAAACATTTGAATTTCGTTGTACATAGGTTCCTGGATAGTTGTTGTTTGACCGTCTTCTTCCACGGTTCGTACGACAATTTGAGCTCTATCAAATCCTTTGTATATATATTTAAGTAAATATTTTACGCTTTTCATTGAAGAGCAAGCCTCCACGTTAATGTGAGCTTCGTATTTTTCAAGTAGATAAGCGTTATATGGTACAACCCAACTATTATCTACCGTTCTTCGACCTATATGTATAGGTGTTTCTATTGGCCGTCTTTTATATAACGGATATCCAGAGGGATTGTATAAGGTATCTTCACGCAAAGATTTCGGGAATTGTTTGCTGCAATGTCCTTCTTCATCTAAGCATCGAGCACTGGTACAAGGTCCATGAAGCATATGTACTTTGACCAATTCGTGCAAGTTGGCATGCGCGATAGGGTCGGGAAATTCTGCTGAAATTAAACGGTCGATTGCTGCAGGGTCCAATATTTTGTCTGATTCTTCTAACCAAATCAACATATGCGCATGCGGAAGTCCTCTTTTCTGAAATTCTATTACGTAAACGTAAGCAACATAAACTCCCATAATATGTCGTTTATCAATATCTTCTATTAATTCCTTTAATTTGCTCTTGAACACTCTGGATACAAAATTAGGTCTATTTGAGGAATGTTGATTTGCATCTAAGTTATTTCCTGATTTCAGGCCATGCAGGATTGCAAGTAAATGTTAGGAAAATATCTGGTTTCCCGTATTTTGTGACTATAGACATGGCATCCAAATAGTTTTGTCTAAATGCGCGTGGACTTCCTATGAATGTCGACGGTAGGATGAAAATATTTCCTGGTTGATAATGAACATCTAATTGTCTAGAGTCTAAATAGTCGATTAATCCTTGAAATATTTCTTGCCTAATACGTGGTTGATTTTCAGTAATAAATTGTAGTCGACTTTGTTCGATTTTTACGTATGCATCTACGATGTACTGTTGTGTTAGCTTGCCTGCCATTACAAATTGGTTGAAGGTATTTGGTCGAACAGCTATTCTGAAACTATAATATTCCAGTAACGATATGTATATAGCCTCTTCTATATTGATGTGGTGTTCTAGACTGCCATCCTGCTTCACCTCTTGGATGTAATAGAGGATAGGTCATTGCATCGCAATTGACACTAAGATATGGTAATTTGTGGATAGTCTAGTCGTTGTCTCGACAATAAACATGTAAGCACGATCCAGGGGCGGTCTCCCATCTTCAGAAATAAATACGGCTGCTATTTCATTGGCCTGTACCGCGCCATATTGTCTGAAATTGATATCCCGAGCACGGTTGTTATTGATGTACAATTCCAATGTTGGATGACGATTGCTTTGTTGTTGTTATTGATAGACATCCTTAAGAAATCTATATGCTTGAGCAAATGGATTGTGATTGTACAAGTAATTAGAGATGAGGTCGACGATTTCTCGATTTAATTCTGCTCGATTTTGTGGACCAACAGACCGAAGTGGATTTGCCAGTTCAGTTTCCAAAAAATATAAATTGCCATATTGTCTGTGTTCATTTGAAATATTAGTCGAATTATTTGATATATGATGTCTTATTTCTCCTTGTACCTGGAAATTCATTATAAAAGGGATACAAAATTTATTAATAATATAATTGATTTAAAAAAATGAAATAATTGGTTTCTAATGTATTATTGTTCTTTGTATGTGGATAAAATAAATAGCATTGTAGAAAAAGGTAAAACAGATGAACGATATGAATTATATATATATATATATGTATATACAGGGTGTCCGCAAAGTTGGGGTTTTCCTTTTCAGAAACAACTACCCTTGAAATAACAAAGGTAATGTGTAGTGAAACGAGGGCGACCAAGTAAAAAAAATAAAGGAAAAAGTACTCACTCTCCAGTTGACGAGAAGGGCTAAGTACGTCTCTGCCCGAAATCATACCGCTCCAACAGAAAATGAAATCAGCTGAAGCGCTACCGAGCAGACGCAGAAACCACATTGATTGTCTTACACTTAACGGCACATCTTCTAACAAGGAAGGCAAAATGTTGCGTAATTGCGTGCGAATTTTCTACTGACCAAACATGAGTGTTGCGAAAGTTATTCACCCCATTACGCGTGAACGTAGATTCGTCTGTCACCAATATGCACTTCAAAAGGTCCGTATTATTGTCATGTTGATGCAACAACCACTCACAAAACCGCACTCTTGCTGGAAAATCGTCAGGTTGAAGGGCTTGTACACGTTGGACGTGAAACGGATAGCCCCTCTTCACGCAGCGTTTGCCACACTTTAGCTTTTGATACTTGCGCTTCTCTAGACACGTCTCTAGAGATTCTCGTCTACGCGATTACCTCTACATGCGTGACCGTAACCACCGGTTGAAGGTTGCATACTGACCTGACACACTGACCCCGAACCAGTTCTGCCGTCGCGTTGAGACCAATCTGTCCCGGGTCGCGGCTACAGGACGGTATTCAGATATTTTTGATGTTGCAGAGCCCTTTATCTCGGTTCCCTTTGGTATATATGGTACTAAGAAAAATTGCTTATGTTTTCAAGATCTACACGTCGTGTAAAGGAAAACCCCAACTTTGCGGACGCCCTGTATATGTATATATATATATATTACTTCTTTGCGATAGTGATAAGAAATTAATTTAAATAGTTAAAAAAAGATTTTGTGTTAATATCTCATATTTATATAATATTTTTCATCTTTGGTGTCACAGTCTGTTATGATTAAATGGTAGGGTTTTTAAGAAACTTTATCTATACAGAAATATGTGAGTTGATGAAAAGTATATCTTGAAAGTATTTTGAAATATACAGGGTATTTCGAAAAGGTGTGAGAGTTGATATTTAATCTAAAAATTGTTGACCAAGCACTTTGAAGGGAAGAGGTTGTAAGACGCGCGACAGAGAGGAAAAGTACACAGTATTTCTTTGGTTAAAGTGTATATAGGTCAAAATTAAAATTCCACGACTTGGCTTGGCAGGTCATATATCAGATTGGGCTTTTTTTTCTGGAAAGTACCTATAGAGGTATGAGACTTTGTGAAATTTTAGGATTCTAGATCGAATAATCCGGTTTAAATACGCGCTTGGAGTTTGTAAGTCAAAATGTAAATTTTAGCGCTTTAGCAACTTTTCAATTTCTCGGGGCAAACGAAAAAGGCATGTTATGTCTTTATAGGTTCGCTTCAGCAACAATTGAACGCAATATGAGCCGTGAGTCGTTTTATAGAATCATGGGAATTGTCAATTTTGATTTGAAACATCGAAAATTGAATCCAAAGTTTTTCTGATCAATGTAAATGGTCCATTACGAATTTATATATAAGGTTTAACTGCTATATGGAAAAATAGTTTTGTGAATTTTTTTGTTTTGTAACGTATTCTAATTGTCTACCTAATAACGAACCAGTCAATAATTGCGAAAAAAAAATATTTGATTGAAATTTTTGTCCAAGAAATCATTATATAGCAATTTTAAGATATTTTTTTTTGGAGTTCGGTCCTGCTACCGAGTCAGTTAGTCTATCTGATAGTGAGCTCGTGAATTTACCATATTAAAAGTGAACCATAACACAAACAACTTTCGACTTGCTACCATATAGTGCAAATCACGAACCAGGACGCATTGTGAGTAGGAAATATTGTGCTATATACCGAAGACATACGTAAATCAGTGGATCAATTATTCAACATTCCAATCTCAAGCGTTCGGAAAAAACGCGTCCAGAATTTGGACCTCGAAAGAACAGGTCCGTATTCAGAAATGATATTTTCCCTTACTGATATAAAACATTAGCAACAATGACATCAACACCGATTAACCAACCCACACACTATTCCACAATTCTAACTACATATAAACATCCAACTAAAGAACAAGCTATAGTTTTCAATTCCATAGACGGAGGAAGAATACAAGATTACTTGCTCCAATTAGGACCAATGATTGACCCGAAGAACATTTTGTTTTGCTCTAGAATTTCCAATAACAGAATTTGCATATACCTTTCCAGCAAGGAATTAGTAAATAAATTCGTAGAGAACCCAGGGGAAATTGTAATACAAGGAGAAAAAATTAAGGCCCGTAAATTAATTTCACCATCGGACAGGTTAGTGCTATCGAACGTCTGCCCAACAATACCACACGCAGTTTTAAAGGAAAAACTACAAGACCTAGGCTTGAAATTACTATCTTCCATAACATTTTTGAGAATCGGAGCAACAGTACCAGAATACAATCACATATTAAGCTTCAGGAGGCAGGCATGTTATATGCACTCAAAACAATGGACTTACTATTCCATACAATGTTGCACCAGACGCTAGCTCAGCAACAGATAACGACTTCTCGCTAACTCGTTGTTTACGCTTTATTTTCTAGAGGTGCTTTGTAAGCACACCAATAGTATAAATAGGCCTTGCGCCCATTTCATGTCGTTCATTACCCGGCTAGGCACCGTAACAGTCACTTATGTAAACTCCGTAAATGTCACATTTGTAAACCTTTGTATTTTATATGGACTGAAGGTTCAGTCCTCAAATAAATTTTTTTAAAAAGTTATTTCTAAATCTAATGATTTAAGAAATTGGTGTCAGAAAAGTGGGATAGCTTCAACGCATTAGAACACGTGCATACTAACTAGTGTGGTGGATGCCTATCCTTTAAGCTGAAAAGGACCAACGAGCCTTAAGAAGAAAGAAACCTATTGAAGAAAGAAAACTACAAGTAAGAAACCACAAAGCAACAAGAAGAAGGAAAATAACAGGGGACACAGCGAGCAGCAGCCACCCAACTGCAGACAGACTACTAGAAACATCGCAAGAGATCCACTAGCCGCCTGGAGAACACGACTGCCTCCCGATGTACCCTTGGTAACGTACAATTTTAATCTAACTATTTTTTGCGATTTATCTCTGTGTGTGTGATTGTTACAACTTTTTATTTGCATTTTTGCGCATTTACTCTATACAGGGTGACTTTGAAGTTGAGTCATTAATTTTCAGATAATGATTGTAGAAGGAAGATAAACCAAAATATGTGTGTAAAAATAAAAAAAAATAAAAAAAAAATTTTACCTTGTTTT